AAACCTGAATTTGTACAAGATTTGAATTTTATCTCATCGTAAAAGAACCATTTGATGATTCAATGAAAACGAACAACATGATGGTTTCAGATATTTGAAAAGAATACAGTTATACAGTAGTGACATATTTGGAGCGAGTATAATGGTTATGTAAGAGCTTCTTAAAAACAGCATAAAGTGCATAGAGCTCTTAACAAAATTATGTTTCTCGATATCCTCGAACAACACAGTAATTTTACCATATTAACGGGTGTTATAACTGATATTGCCGTATTCTCACCGATTTTTTTAGATCCATAAAAAAACGCTTTAGTAGTCTTTAACGATAATCTTTGAATTGCTGATTGGTGGCTCACTCTCACTTGGAATTGTCCCTGATGTTGTGCTCACCTATCACTCGTTGTAGAAAGCATGAAATGTTGGTAGCTGTTTACTTTTATACGTATGTAGCGATCTAGAGAAGAATGTCTTTTCTCACAACAATTTGTTACTACATCCGGTAATAGGTAAGAAGCAGGTTTTAGAAATTTGATAACATTTGAAATTGCGGAAGTCGTAGGGTCGAAAGGTTATGTTATTGAGAAAATAGAAGTCGACTGTAGTAGCAGGCTAGTTTCTTGTGTATTACGCTAATAAATCTTCTTTCAGTTTGAAAACTGAAGGAAAATACGATATTAGTCGTGAAAAAGTTGAATACGTTATTTTATAGCGCGATGTTCCATAGCATATGTCAATATCTCGTGTGACCATCCAATGTGCCGTATGTCTTAAAATCTCTGCATTGTACTGAAATTTTATACTTTTTTTAGTTATTTCTCTTTTCAGGGCATCGAGCGTTGCTAATGTCTCTTCTTAGTTAGTTATATTTCGACATATAAATAATCTCATAAATATTGAAATATTACAAATGTTGAAAAATAGTTGAAAAATATTTGCATGACTGGAATATTGCTGCATTGCGAATCATCATAATTAAAAGTAAATTGTCAACTTAACTCCCGTTCATATTTACACTGTTGTTAGTAGAATGTTAAGTGGCAGTGTGAACGACTGAGTATTCATTGTTATTCTTTTTCGTGAATGACGAATATTAACCAGCGATTTTGTACTAGGCTAACTTAATAGCCTTGTTGGTATAATACAGATGATAGCTAGTCATGTTATTTGCTCTTAAACGATTTATGTTCCACCGGGCCACATATAATCACTGTCTAAATGTTCAACACTTGATGAAGAGAAAAAGAAAGCATGAAGTATGCCAAAACCAACAACATACGTTACTGTTAGTTTAAACAATGTACACAAATTGAACGGGATTTTATTGGATATTAACTTTGAATAAACCAATTAAGACTAACTACCATACACAAGATTAAACATATAGCATGAGTGAGTAGTATTTTGAAGTTTCAAGATTAAACACGTGCGAATGCAAAGTGGATCAGTTTTATGCTATAAAATATTTATGCATACTTCATCTAAAGCCATTGATTGCTAGATAAGCATTAATATATGTTAATTACTATTTTTTATAATATCAAGATACCTAATCTGACCAGGGTTTGATATAAGAAGAACTCAATTTGGTCTCCTCTGTCAGTCGGTGGATAGAACTCGATGAGATACATAATTTGAAGTAGGTGCTGTGAGATTTCAGACATATGAGATGGCATAATAGTTTAGAGTTTGAAACTTTACAGTAATTTAGGCTTTTAATAATATTTCCACTACAGACGTTAACATTTGATAAACCGAATAAACCAGTAGATGCGACTGACGACTGATTGGTTGATGTATAATAAGTTAAAATTAGATTAAGTTTTGACCAAGATATGGCCACTTCAATGTCTCAGAGCAGTTTTCCGTACCTTCGAGCTTTCTTCCAAACGGAGCGACTTTAAGATTTGAAAACTTAGGACAATAAAACCGAAAAGTGTATGTCAGCGAAGTATTTTGAAAGTTTTGTGTACAAAATGTTGTTTAAATGAAATTTTAATTAGATATTCTGAAAGCCCAGCCAGAATCTGAGCTACAAACTGCTATAATCTGGAAGATAAACTTATATGAATACTTATTTTGAAAAAGCCCAGTTTCTCACACAGACGGCACTAAAATGGTTTATTTTTCGAATATTTGAGTCATTTCTTCGAAACGATATATGATAAAGACTAGATTTTTTCAGCGTTGCATGTACACTCAAAAAAAACAAAAATAGTTTATTGAATTCTGTTTAGGACTTACAAGTGAAAAATTGAGCTAATCCTATGGTACAATGACTATACAATTCACTCATGTACACAGTTAGAAATGGAATTATATATATACACGCTTCTTCATATTTACACATCGATATGGCATGAATTTGCTGACATAGATTCGGTTTGACAAAACTTTTGTTCATGTAGATTCTTTTGTAAAGAATATGTTGCAAACATATAGTTGAACTTGCAATTGCCTTTGTCTGCTTGTACTTTCAAAAGACCGTATACTTTTAGGAAAAAACGTAGTAAATCCAAAAAATCTAGTCTTGTAACAAGACTCTTGTTACACTTTTTTGATATAACATTTCCACTTTTTTGCATAATAATGTTTTGCGTACAATGTCAAATATATATACATCATAATTTACTATTCTAACAGAATGGCAAACAGCAAACAATTAATTAATACGGTCGTTGAAATGAAAAAATGCCTCAAGATCAACTCATGTCTTAATAAAATGACCAAAAAAGACAAAAGAAACATGTAAAAGTATAGTGAATACTAGCTGTAGCTTTGTCAAAAACTATTCAGTCGAACATAACTTTCTCGCATAATTACTACACTTACGTCTTCTAAGGATGACGAGTAAGATAAAGCGCGTGGTAAAACCATGTGTTCAACGCATGCTGACATATGTTTTCATAGATGTCCAAACATGTGGATTCATCTAAGTTTGGTCACCGAACATCGTTTTTAACTATGCACAAGAGTAATAAGACCCTAAAAACATAATTTTGCAGCTACATATGTGCGTAATGGTACAAATTTAAAATTTGAGAAAGCGACTCGTCAGGACCGAGATATAGGTATTTACTAATTATTAAAACAACTTCCGGTTCTGGCTTTGTAGTTTAAGTTTAGGGATCTCCGCAGAAAAACAATGTCGGAATCACGTTTTCGGCCGAGCTACGTAGAATGGCTGAACGGTCCTATAGCAAGATTCATTTCAAAAAATTATCCATACTCAAATATTGTATTAGTATTAACCCTTTGAACTAAATATGTTTCCTGCACTCTGATACATTAATTCTCTTATTATGATATAAATGACCACACTGGAAAATTCGACAGACACGCTTGTCTTCTGAACGTGTGAGTGAGAATGAGGCGAAAGAAGATACCTTCAACGATTTTTATGCATTAGAGAAAGAATATGAGTGAATGGCATAGCGTTTAGCAAAAAATTCTCGAAAAAATAAGTTGCTTACAAAAAAATGTTCAGAGTGTCGGGTTGAGTTTTTCTATACCCGATGTCAAGTCGGAAACCTTTTTCTCGACACTTTATAGTCAAAACAGCGAAAAATGTGTTTTCGGTGCTACACCCAGCTGATTCCCCAAGACGACTGTGGAAAAATTCAATTATACTTGAGATAAATAATAGGTATTATCGATGCGTCGATAATCGACGCATCGATAATCTATTAGATCTTGATGAGCTAAATCCGATGATGCTACTCCCAAAACTTTATTACATGGATTTTCCATTGGAAATGCCGAAAGGAAGATTTTTAGCTGAAGAATGACTTTTGGGAGTCGTTACGTGCACTTAATGAACTAATACTTTTCAACTTCATGATTGAATACAGCACATTCAGCTGAATGGAATGATGTGTCATAGGTTGAATTTCGGTTCTATGTTCATTGAGAATAAGCATGTAGAAATCTTACCGAACATTTTCGTGTATTTTTCAAATTTCTCCTCAAAGATGCAATATTTCAGTTTCATTTTTTTTACCGAATATCAGACCCCATAAGGTCTAAAAATGATCAAAATTTGATCTTGATTGCAGTATTATTTATCGAGGTATCAAAAAAACAAAATCGAAAATCTCATCGGACATCTTCTGGGTGAAGTCTCGATTTCCAAAAATATACTGGAATTTTGTATACAAAGAACGCACTTTTTAAATTATATTTTCTTTTCAATTTGCTACGCACTCGAAGCGGTATCGATTCTACTTATTGACAATTATATTTCCAGTTTTTTCTTTAGCTCGACATTACGCTTTGAAATCTCACCGGACATAAATTCCAAAGTGAGTAACAGAGCTAAGATCAACTTTTTATATCGACAGACATAATGTGTTTTTGCTGGGAATTTATTTATTTTTGTTTTCTTTAGTCATTTGTTTTACAAAATGTGCACAATGTGATCTAAACATAAATCCAGATTCGGCACCATCAGCTACAGAAGTTTCTGTAACTATTGTCGGTTCAGGAACATAGTGGATAGTATATCAAAAACAGAGCATATAAAACATACTAAAAAGAATTACTATTAATAACATCGAGTCGATTGCAGAACTCGTTGTACAATAGACACAGAGCACTGGATTTAGTTTGGCAGTTTCTGCCAAACTAAGTTCATATGCTCGAATCTCTATTCGTAACAAAACTGATTTTGACCATTTTTCGGTAGTATTAGTTTAGAATACAATAATGAAACATTTTTCCACTTGTATTATGAAAGAATAAAGCTAATATCAACAATTGGATCTGATCGGCTATATTTGTGCCTAAATAAAGTGAAATTATCGTTACATGTACACTATGTATTTAAAAATTAAAAAACTTATCCATTATTAGAGTTGCAGTACGGATATGTTCAAAACATTTATGATTATGACGAAACAGTACATTTCGACGAATAAAATCAAAATTTTTGTTCCACATTTGCAATATGTCTGATACAGACGAGCTAAATCGGGTGTGTCATACGTCATATTATTTACCAGATTCTAGAACTTCATTTCCATCAGTCTCTTAATAAAATTTGCTCGCGTTATTGACATTAAACGTTCATTCAATATGCCTGTCCCATCCAAATAATCATTCTGTTCTTGTTCAAATGTTTTACAAATTTGTTTAATCCATTGATAAACTTTCACACTATATTTTGATAACATTTTATCTATCAATGAACATAATGTAATACATTTTGTTACTGTATCATCATCATCTGCATTGTCAATAATTGATTCTAAAATATTATGTGCATATTGAACAAATTGTTGACAATTAGAAAGTTTAGAATAACACGCATGTTCTATGAACACTTTTAGACATAAATCTAATTGATGATGTGCAGCTGAATTAATA